ATATGTGAGCAATGGTAAGCAAGGGACCTTTGCTGAAATGTGGACTTCCTGGATGGTGGTGTTTGATAGGTGACTGGAAGAGCTGCATTAGAACTTGGCTGTACAAACTGTGCCCCCCCTCACGTGATGGCTCACGCCTGTAATCCTAGCTACTCAGGAGGCTGAGATCTGAGGATCATGGTTCAAAGCTAGCCCAGGCAGGAAAGTCCCTGAGACTCTTATCTCCAATAAATCACTAGAAACTGGAAGTGGTGCTGTGGCTCAAGCGGTAGAGCACTCTCCTTGAGCTGAAGAGCGCAGGGACAGCCCAGGCCCAGAGTTCAAGCCCCATGACCGATTAAAAACAACAACAACAATAACAACAAAAAATAACTTGGCTGTACAGATTCTGAATACTACTCTCGGGAGAGTTAGTGTTCAGTTGTCCAGTGGGGCACCCATCAAAGTGTGTTGAGTAATAATTGCAGCTTAACTGAGCAGAGGAACATGATAGAAGGCAACTTCCCCCACCCCCAAGAAGGATTCATTATTAGCATAGGAATGTGGAATTGAAGGCAGAGATTTGGGGAGCCATGAGAATAGATAGAAACGTTTTTTGGAAGAAGCCATGAAAGGGAGATGTGACAGTTTAGGATACAATGTTAAGAGCAAGTAGAGTCGGAAGAGGTGCTGAGAAGGTACTGTCAAGGTCATTGAAGGCCATCCAAGAGAGCACGGACAACATTTTTGGAGCAAGCCAACAGTGCAAAATGTTACAGAAGTTGAAGCCTGAAGAAAGGGAGTTGAAACCAGCCTTTGCTGTCTCATCTAAACCTGTAAGACAACCACTTCATTGTGATGTGGGGCAGGAACTTAATTCCAAGCAGATGAGGGAAAAAAAGTAGAACATGTGGCTGGGGAAGGAAGAGGAAACCAGAACAGTAACTTGAAAGGGCAAGAGGAGAAGCACAGCAAAATCAAATGAAGGTGGACTGTTGTTAGAATGTGCATGCTCAGACCAGAGAAAGAAATGTTGGGAAATGAAAGAGTAAAGATTCTGGAGTTGAATAATGGTATGTGAACAGAGAGTGCCAGAAGGAGAGGGTACAGAGGAGGCTAACTCAGAAAGGCAGATAAAATGCATGAAGGCCTAGAGAGTTGGCATTTGGTGAGAATATGGGTGCATCATGTCTGTTGGCTGTTACTTTTACACTAGCATCTGTAGTTGATTATCTGATAAGAAAGTAAACATGGAAACCTGGGAAATACCTACAAAGAGAACAAAGAGGCTCTGAGGAGCATGTGCAGGGTTGACCCCCAAGAGATCCACAAACTTTGCTCATTCTTTAAGCCAAAAGCAGAATGAGAGTGTCCCACAAGCCAGTAATAATCTTTGTCTCCATGGCTGAAACCTCTGATATGTAGTTTTTCCTAAGAGTTCTCTCAAGCAGCTTGTCATATCTCTCTGTGTGTGTCTTCATTTTCTGTCAGTGGAGTTTAATAATTTTCAAAGAAAAAGATAGCATGATTTGATTCTCAAGCACCTACTGACATAGAGTTATGTCTCAAGTCTTGACTTGTCTGGTTACAGACCTAAGCCTGTCCTTTTCTACATGTAATTAAGCTTTTCTTACAAGTTATATATAGTAATTTCAGGCATCTTAATTATCGGTGTAATAATTGGGAGGTTTCTGTGTTTTATGGTTCAAGTCAGTGCCAGTTTCATTGAGTTTAGCTAAGTAATAAGTTCTCTTAGAAGAGCAGATCTTTACTAGGCAGTCTGTTTTAACTCTCAGATAATTGAGATGCTAAATAATAGACACATTCAATGGCTGACCTGATGATAAGCAAAATCTGTATCAAGAATTAGCTATCAAGAGTATGGATTCCTTTTACTTTGTGTGACTAAATACATGAACTTGATGGGATACAGTATTAGTCAGGAGTCTTTTGGTTCCAAGGATAAAAACCTGTCTTGTTACAAGCTTTTTTAAGGGTATTGGTCCATGTAACTAACCATACACAGCTATAGATTGGCTTTAATCAAGACTAGAGACCAAGAGCTTAGACAGTGTTGTTAAGATTCTGTCTCCAGAGCCAGCTACCAGTGGCTCATACTTGTAATCCTAGCTACTCAAGAGGCTGAGATCTGAGTATTGCAGTTCAAAGTCAGCCTGGACAAGAAAGTGAATGACACACTTAACATCAGTGAATCACTGTATCCCAAGAGGAAGAGCACTAGCATTGAGCACAAAAGCTCAACAACACTTAGGCCCTGGGTTCGACCCCAGGATTGGCACAGAAAACACATTCTGTCTGCAGTTCTTCAAGTTGTTTCTGTCTGTGAATTGTCTATTTTCACTCGAAGCCTCTAATTTGTATCTTTGGATCCTGAAATCCCAAAGAAAGAGAGTCTCTCTTCCATTGTTTCCATATAGCAAATTCAGGGAGGCCTCCAGCACATGCCCATCCCTCAGCTAGTCATGTGGCCTGAGAAATGGGGGGTGCTGACCTGCCTCGGCCACATAGCCACTTGGGTAGAAGGGATTCTAAGACCTATCTTGCAAGGAGTACACGGAGAAGGTGTTTTTGCTAAGCTAGCAAAACCCACTGAGGTGTACTCTAAATACCCTGGCTCAAAAGCTAAACAATAGAAATATAGAACTTTTATAGACTGTGGTCATTTTTGAAGGACTCCAGTATCATTTGTTGTCACATGGATTCATGGTGCTCTTCTCTGGACAGGCACCTAGATTCCAGCAGTGAGGCTTCCCCCAGGGCTGGACTTTATGAAGGACTTGAAGGCCCACAGTCTGAAGACACTACAGAAGGAACACAAATCACCCCTAGGGCTCACTAGAAGCCATCCTCAGGATCTGCTCATTGATTTGAACTGGTTCCAGTTAAGTGGGTTTCATCTGGTTTCATTCAAGATAGAAAGTAAACCATAAGAGGGGGGTTAGGGCGTCACAGTCCTACCTGAAATCAGGAAGCATAGAGACCAGAAGGGTTCACCTAAGAGAGGGAAGGAGAGGATGCATAAACACATGGACCCAGGATACAACTCACATAGCTGCTTCCAGCGTGTGCACAGGAGGGCTGCCTGTCCAACCTTGCCAGCCCTGCCTTCTACACTATGCATAGCCTGGAGTGGTTTCTGTTACCCTTTTCCTCCAGCACTGTCTTAGTAGAAGTCTCTTTACCATGCCATTTTCCTCATCTTCTCACCCCTAGGCTATGTCTCCGTAAAAAATGTCTTTGATAACACAAACAATAAAAAAATTCTTAAATTAGACAGTCGCCTGATTAAAGTGATGTTTTGCCACTATTTTAAAACCACAGTGATATAAGTGACTAGACTTTTCTCCCCTCCCTGATTTATACCTGTCTGCTTGGCACATCAAAAATCCCCTTAATCTTTAGATCTTTATGTAACGTGGGTGAAAATAGATTTAGTGAAGCTGACACCACCACAAAGCTGTATTTTTTAAGCCTTCATTACTAGTTATTGTACATATATGTGTGTATTTGAGGAAAACATGATCATCTCACTTAACATGACAGAATTACAATATAACTCCAAAAAAGTATGAAACATGATTTTTTCCCTTACCCCATGGCTTAAGAATAAAAATGTTTACAATTTGCAAGTGGCAGTTAAATACCACTGCAAATGATAAAATAAAAATGGTTAATACCATCAATTCTTGGCTCTCAAAATACGTCAAAAACTCAGTGAAAGGGCCAGCTACAAGATTTCTAAAAGCAGTGTCCCCATTCTGCTTATATTTGATATATAATATTTTGTCCATATTCATACAAGAGGATGATCTCTTCCTTGAAGCTTTCTTCCAGGTAGCAATGAGTGTTAAAGTGTTCTTTTAGTCTTAGTAATAAAACTTCAAGGTGGGCCTCAGCAATGCTGTAACCTTAGAGATGAGAAAACGAAGGCTTGGTGAGGATGATCTCTATACAGCAAGGAAGAATTGCCTGGAGATACCCTTGAGTTCTGGTGCCCATTTTCTACCATCCGTGCTAGGTCCTGGGATATGAAGCTTCCACTCCAGATCAACCCTTACTTTACCTTCATTTCCCTGTTACTCTCTCACTACTACCTTCAACTACCCAGACCCACCCACCTTCCTTGGCTTCCTACAGCTGTGTTTCAGCCAAGTTGCCTGTCTTCGGGCATTGCTGGGCCTCCTAACACATTCCCCTGGGCAAGGGTGTGTGAGCTTTTCTCCTCAGCCTGGGTGGCAGGACAGGCTGCCATATGGTGTGTTGGCTGCTTACAGGCCAGGCCGTGTGGATTGAGGGCTTATGTGGGAAGATTCGGGAAGCTTTACAAAAAAGGAACTAAGATCTCCAGCAAGCTTTCAATCAATCCTGGCTTTCTTTCAGATCTGAGAAATGTTTTGGTAAAATCTGCTGTTTATGTTAAGGAAAAACCCACACCCTAGAACTTTTCAGGACAGTTCATTGTAATCGAATGCTGCTGAGTAACTGGGATGACTTTGGAGGAAAGGGCACCAAGGAATGTGACATTAATTTCAATTCTGAAATCTGTCAGAAAGGCTATAATGGAGCCAGGCACTGTGATGGCTCATGCCTATAATCCTAGCTACTTAGGAGGCAAAGATCTGGGGATCAAAGTTCAAAGCCAAGTTGAGCAGAAAAGCCCATGAGATACTTATCTCCAATTAAGTAGCAAAAAGCTGGAGGTAGAAGTGTGGCTCAAGTGTTAGAGAGCTTGCCTTGAGCAAAAAAGCCAAGTTGGAGTGCAAGGCTCTGAGTTTAAGCACCAATACCTGAGTGTGTGCACGCGCACGCGCACGCGCGCGCTCACACACACACACACAAGCAAGGAAAGAAAAAGAGGTTATAATGGGATAAATTTATATTTGGATGAACTTTTTCTTAAAAATAGCTAGCAGCCAATCTGTCCTAGTTCGGTTCTATAGACGATTACTGATGCTCAAGCCTTGGGAAGTCATGTGTTCTGTGCTCTGTTGCCTCCTCAGCTTGCCTGGACCCAAAGGCAGGACCCCCAGAGCCCGAAGGTGCTGAGAAGGATGACTTGCTGCTGTTGAGTGAGATCTTCAATGCTTCCTCCCTGGAAGAGGGAGAGTTCAGCAAAGAGTGGGCCGAGGTGTTTGGAGAGCATCGTCTGAAGGAGCCAGCACCCACAGGGCCCCCAGGAGAGCCAGACCCAAAGCTCCCATCAGGCTCTGGATTCCTTCCTTCGCAGCTTTTAGACCAAAATCTGAAAGACTTACAGGCCTCACTACAAGGTACACACTACAGTGACTGAAATTAGCTTCCTTTCCTTATTCATTCTTTGTTCTTCATTTTCATTCAAAGGCAGATTTGTTCCTTCTGTTATGTTTTCTGTATTTGTATTTCATATTCAATGTCTTTCCCTTTTTTTCTCTTCGGTATTGTATTTTTATTTCCAATCCAGTGACTTTTTAGCTGAAATTCCTGAATCATATCCTAACTTTAATATATTCAAATTAAGACCTATTCATTCTGATAATTTCCCCCAAGGTTAACATTTTCATTAGGAAAGTGTTAAAAGGTTGGCTTTGGGTCATATTCTCTTCCTTTGATTAAGGTTTTGTGGGGTGTTTGGTTTTTTTTATTGGCGCCAATATTTGGGCTTAAAAACTCAGGCTTTTATACTCTCTTAACTTTCTCAACAACTTTGAAGTTGTTGCCCTACCACTTTGAGACACAGTTCTACTTCCAGCTTTTTGGTGGCTAATTGGAGATTAGAGTCTCTCAGATTGGCATGCTCAGTCTGACTTCAAACTGCAATCCTCATATCTTACTCTCTTGAGTAGCTAGGATTATAGATGTGAGCCAACACCTGGTTTCATTAAGGCTTTTTTTTTTTGTGGCATACAAGTGGGGCTCAAATTGCCTTCATGATTATGGCCCTGTTGCCTTGGCCAACCCTTCCTGGTCATCAGCCTGAGCTTTCCCATTTGCCACAAAGCAGAATATCTCGTAGCCAGGTAAACATTCCCTCTTTCATACGGACTTTCATTCCGTTGGCCCTTGAACTTTGGGTTCAATCTTGGTTTTATATATACTTTTATATACTTATACTTGCTTTCTCCCTCCTGCCCCTACCCCATGTGTTCCCCCAGCATTTCCTGAAACAGAGGCAGAGAACTTGAATAGTGTCAGCCCAAAAAGCGTTTCCACACTGACGAAAGGCAGTCGACACCACTAGCAAGGAAGGTTTCAAAACACATCAGGGCTCAACAGCAGCCACACACTGGCTGGTTTAAAGTACAGAAAACTCAGGTGAAATGTACTTTTGAGTTACTAAACAGGCAGACCTCAGGAAACAAACTATTTCCTTCTATCTCAATACTTTATTTTCCTTGCATGCAGCATGAATTGTTAAGACAGCTATTACTATTAAGAAATTCTCAAATTGTTCTGTTTTTTTCTTTCTTGTGAATTTACGCTATCTTCTTCATAAACAACGTGTTTATCTGGCACTTACAACTAAGAACAAACAGCAGAGCCAAAATGATTAAGTAATTATGGGCTATTACAACGTTGGGTCTTTGGAGATGAGGTCATAGATTTAGGAGTTGGTGGGCAAGACCAAAAAAAGAAAAAAGAAAAGAAAAAAAAAGTCTTACCTCTTTTTTAAATGAAATCCCTGATTCTTTCTATCTTCCTTTGTGAGTTCTATTTTGTCACCCTCTCATGTGTTAGAATAATAGAGGTAAGAGTGTGGGGATAAGTGAAATCCAGAAATACTCTTCCACCCCGGGTTTCACCCTGGGTTTCACCAGCTCCTATACTGGAGTGTAGACTGTGAGACTGCCAACTGACTTGAGTTTCACCCCACCCACCTGTGGAGGAGGTGCTAAGGGACGTGGGAGAGTTGGGAGGCCAGAGCCTGAGTATTCAGCCCATCTCCTTGGGGCACCAGAGTCTCTCCAGCTGTGTAGTAGAATGATCCTCATTCAGGCTTTCCCCAAGCTTTGGAGACATTAGAGCCCTGCTGATGCTAGGCGCAATGGTGGCTAAATGTCAGTTGCTGTGAAAGACTGAAGGCAGAGCTCTTCTCAGGACCTGCCTGAGAACCATCACAAGGCAGTGGCCATGGGACTTTGCACTTTAGCCTTGCACCATGTCTAAGGGCCAAATAACACATGAGGCAAAGGAGGGAGATGTTCCAACAGTGAGAGAGAAATACAAGTATACTGTGGAAGGAGAAGGAAGTTCTTCAAAGGGAGGCCATTTATTTCCCAGTGAAAGAAACTCTCTGGAGGTTGCAAGTCTAATGCCTTATCAGGCTGCTCACTTATTAGCGATTATTTACTGGGTCTTTCAGCATGCCGAGGTATTGGGGAGACATCTGCAAACAAAACAGGTAAATCTCTATGCTTTTCCTGGAACTCACATTCTGGTGGAAAGAAACAGCAAACAATAAACATCATAAGCAAATCAACATTGTAGGTAAGAAAATGAGTGGTGTTGGGAAGAAACGGAAAAAGAGTAGTAGTAGATGTCAGAGCAGGGCAAATGTTGGAGGATAGCAGGAGAGAGGAGGCTTCAGAATTTACGAGGGCCATGCTGGAGAGATGAGATTCCACTGCAGATTTTTCAAGAGGAGGAAATTAGCCATATAGATACCTGGGCATAGAGGTCAACCTGTACTAAAGACCAGTGTGACATCGTGCTGGTCTTACATAGGATTGAGATTCTCAAATTCTCAGACTAAGCAAGGAGAAAAGTCTCTCAGAAGCCTTGGCTGTTAGACCATCTTGTAGACAAGTCACCTTGCAAGTGACCACCTTGTAGGCTAGGCCACATAGGTAGTAGCCATTTAGAAAACCTTTGGCCCATTTTTAGCCCAAGTAAAATTGGGAACCATCCCAGCATCTTCAGCCATGAAGTGACATGCTCGGAGTTACTATTTAAAAACTCATTTTGGCTGCTAAAAGTATCCGTTCATCCACTGAGGTTCTAGCAAAAGAGCAGTTTTCAGGTAGTTCTTTTGTTGTTTTGAGTTATCAAGTTTCCTTTATATATTCTCATCTACTTGTAGAGTGCCTATGGGACAAGAAAGAATGTCATACCTAAGGGGCTGAAAGAAGTAGCCAGAAGCCAAGCACCAGTGGCCCATGCCTGTAATCCTAGTTATTCAGGAGGCTGAGATCTGAGGATTGCAGTTCAAAGCCAGCCCGGGGAAGGAAAGTCCGTGGAACTCTTATCTCCAATAAACCACCAGAAAACCAGAAGTGGCGCTGTAGCTCAAGTGGTAGAGTGCTAGCCTTGAGCTGAAGAGCTGAGGGACAGCACCCAGGTCCAGAGTTCAAGCCCTACAACCAAAAATCCAAAAACCAAGAAGTAGCCCGTTCCACTTCTAGGATACCACCTAGTGGCACCTTACTTCCATCCCATGTTTCCCATGGTTTAGGGAACCTCCAAAACACATGGGGTACAAATAGAGATTGGGTTCCTGCTTCAGTGGTGGGGCATGTCAGCATGCTCAATCACCTTGTACAGTTCTATCAGGGATCCTTCTGCCTTCCAAAAGAAGAAAGGGTGGAGAAAGGCCTAAGATATTGTTTTTCTTTTTTTGTTATTGTGAAAAAACTGTACAGAGGGGTTACAATTACATGGGCAAGATATTGTTTTTCTTGCTGCCTCCATGGTTTAGAACATCCATCTATATCCATGAACACCGTCATATCCATCTATATCCATGAACACCGTGTAGCAGTAACTATTAAACTCTGGCTACCTTCTCTTAAAATTGTCTTCCCTGATTAACCAGCGCATCTCAAAAACTATGTATAATAGCCTCTGAAATCATTAAGTAGCCAAACTAACTGTGGCCTAGAGAGGCTTCCCAGCACATTGGCTCAGTGAAGAGCCTGATGGGGTTCAGAGTTCCTCCTGTTAAGTGACCCTCCCTTTCTCAGTCTGCAGCCCATGGTCAAGCCTCTCCAACTCTCTTGTTCTTTCCCTTCTCATCTGCAAAATGAGGTATTAGACTCCACTTCTTATCCCTGTGATGTCTTCTAACTTTTGGGCTGAGATTTCAAATCATGGGATTCCATGAATCTATTTGTAGATTTGTAGATGGTAAGAAAGCAGCCCAGATGGCACCTGCCATGGGCCAAACACTATGCTGTGAACTCTCTATCTATGTCACTTTATGCACTTATTCCATATCCTTCCCAGACAGGTTCTAGCATTATCTGTATTTTGTACTCTGGAAAACTGAGGAACCCAGTGGCCCAAGGCCACATACCTAGTAGAGACAGTTGGACTCTGAATATGGCCTGCACCTTCACTAGAACCTCCTGTGGCCTCTCCACCCTGTGTCTTTGGTCCAGTAGCTCCCATCATGGCTCTTCAGGCCTTGCCTTGGATGCTGCAGGAGGAAGAGCAGGACTTGTCATGATCAGCCTAGTAACACACAAGAACAAAGACACCCACAGGTAGCTACAGAGGAGCATTGTGAGTATGGAGAGACAAAGACCCTGTTCAACACAGAAATCTAATAGTGTTTAATAGTGTTCAAGAAATTGGATTGTCCTACGAAGTCTTTATGGATTTACATATCTGTGCTGAGTCTCATCACTGTCATTTTGAGGAGTTCAAGCTCTACTCAAGACCAGAGAATCAGTCAGCAGTGCAAAGTTCTGGCTGCTTCCACAGTTGCTCAGTTTCTCCTACCACCTCCTCTCTTTGCTCCTGCTCCATCTTTTCAGTCTTTGATGTCTGAGATTCTCCTATGCCCACCTTCTTCTTTGACACCTCTCGTCATTCTGTTCCCCAGCCTTCTGGAAGGATGCCAAGGAAAAGTTTAAAAAAAATTATTTCCTACTTCCCTCTGACTTTAAGCCCTACAAATTCCAAAAAAGATTTCATATCAGATCAGTTTGTGCTACAAATGAAAGAGTTAATTTCAGCTGAAATGTCTTTCTAAAGTTATCAGCATGATGGGACTTGGGTTTCCTGTGTCATACAGTGATGAGAAAATTGTGCCTTCCTGGGGCCTCTTAGCATGAGTAGGAGGAGAGCCAGCTTGAGACGAATGTGCAAGTAGAGACTAAGCAAGCTATGGGAAGCCTCAGATCCTTCTCAGTGCTTCTCAATGCTCCACCAATAACTAAAATTTAATTTTAAAGCAATTCTGATAGTGGAGGGATTTTTAGCTGCTCAAACATAAATATGCTATAATATCCTTCAGTTTAGTTTTCAGCAAATCTTATCCCAGATTCTGTGTGTGTTTGTATTGTGTGTGTGT